TCAAGATTCAGATACAATTATCAAGTAATCAAAAGGTAATAAGTCACTTATAAGTAGGCTTAAGTACAAACATGCTTTATTCTATGCATTTTTAAGTCACTCGTGCAGTTTTAGCGGGAGAAAAAATGCCAAACAGCCTATAACACTGGGAGAAAAACACTACTGTAAAATATTTTTTTAATACCTACAATCTTCAGTCAAAATTGTTATAATAACTAGAATACATGATATAAAATGAAAATGAAAAAAATCTAAACATTTCCAACACTAAAGCTTCCAATTTTGGGAAAAAAAATACAATAAAAACATAAAAAATACAAGTGCACATTAACAGTGAACAAATAAAAGTATCGACATGTGAACCCTTCCGATTAATATATAAATGCTTTTAAAATCCTTAAAACATTAATACATACCTCCTCATCTTGATATCATTGTTCCAACTTGATGCATAAATAAGATTCCCAAGAATAAGCACTGGTCATCAAGTGCTAAAATTTTTCCTTGACTTAATAGTATAAAATTAAAATACTTGAATCTAATCTATAATTTCAAACCATTTCACAGTGAACGGCCACATTAACAGCTGCACAGAAACACAAAGGGCAAAAAATGTACATTGCAGTCTCTCATTAACATTATACATTGGATAACAGCTTGTCTAGATTTTAAAGCATATAGTTTTTATGTTAATGACAGCAGGTGTGTACCTGTAGCTAAATGACTCGAAAATGCATATGACCCGTGTTATAAGACCTTTCCTATTATGTCAATAACACAAATGTCTCTTTGGTAATAAAATAAGTTTGCATGCCACAGAAAATAACAAAAACTGTGTAACAAGAAAGAAATACCAAGCACAGATATCAAAATTAAATTACTAATGATGCTTGTACTTGTAAACTTTTTGCCCTAAAGAACATAATGACTACCTATGAAACAGAGATACCTGAATATTCTAGAGCTATAACTTGAAACTTATCAAATTTATCACCTACAAATAAGTGCCTTAACCCTTTACCAAATGGAAGTATGAATTTGCCAAGCTGCTTTTATAATGCTTTTGTGGAAAACAAGGCTTTAGTATTCCGAAAATGATGTTTTCACAAAGATAATCAATATATAAATGATTGCCTTGTAGTGAAATACAGAGTATAAACAAATGCACCACAGATTGAGGTTTCAGAGATCTGAGGCCTACTGAATTGTGTGTGGCAATTCAACCAGGCCTATTTCAGTCCAAGTCTCAAGTCTGCATAAAACAGGGAAAGTTCTGGTAAGCAGTGCATCCAGTAAAATACTTGTACCAAATCAGAACATGAGAAACACCTGATAAAGTAGTTTTGGGAGAGACAAACTAATTGGGAGGGTCAGTTAGAATGTCAGAGAGCCAGAGAAGTATGGCAGCAGTGAACTGATAAACAAGACCATTGAAAAGACCAATACCTTTAATCTGAAAAACATCTACCATAGATACAAAATTACTTATCTATCTTCTGATTCATTTCATAATTAGACAAACAACAAGCCACTTTAGTAAACAAGCCAGACTGCCAAGGTGCCAATCGCAGGGTTGGATACAAGGAAAGGGTACAAAGCAGGAAGGCATCTGGTCAGAAATTCTAAAAAAAGGTATTTGACTGGTATTTTAATGATAGATAGAGTGCTACAGGTGTGAATCAGAAATGAAAACAGGATACTCTCCGGGAATGATAGCAGTCAGTCATTAAGGAGTGAGACAAATCTTGACTATATTGAATGCTTCACAACAAAAATAGACGCAGCAATGAGATCTACAATGGATGCCCACAGACAGGGATGGCAGGAGGAGCTGAAGGATGGAGAATGTTCAGGGTACTGACGAGGATGGCTTTTCATGAATGTCTACCTACATATTAATGAAATAAAATATTCAGGTCTAGAATTCCCTGCTCCAACAGATAAAGTGGACTGATTTTTGTTGACACTTTTATCACCTATACCTTTTACTTAAGGGATATACTTTAAGGGGAAAAAGACTTCTTACCTGACAGACTCATACTTACAAAGGAAAGGGTTAAGAAAACCAGTTATGATAAAGCACCTTACTTGAGTTTTCTTATTGCCATTAAGTTTTCACAAGTTCCCTCCATTTTTTCTACACCTCCCAAGTGCAGTGAGTATATTTTTCAATCAAGGAGAGCTTGATATCACAGAGTAGTAATAGGTGAGAAATACTGATATTCACAACGTACAAAAATGATATGACATTCATTTATATACATATTCTTACTGAATCTTATTTTCTTTTTATTTCTGCTTTTATTTTTGAAAAAATCACATAATCACCTTGGCTTCCCTCATAGAAACTCTGCATGACACTTTAACATTCAAAAACATTTACATATGCGTAGAAATTATTGCACGATCAGTATGATATAGGCCAATACCTGGACTCTCTTGAGGTAGCAAAAACTTGGAAGACTCTGAACATTTGATTATCATCATTGTTATTTCTTCTAAAAATATGTAATATTTCTATTCATGCTCACCACAAAAAAAAAAAAAAAAATCTCCCCCATCTGATGACCTCTTTATGTGAGAAAGAGATATAAAAATAATTAACATTATTCATAACCACCTGCCCCTCAAAACCTACAGTTCATGTTACTCACACTTATCCTTTCATTAATAATAATGTGCATAGTGGGCAGACACCATTTCCCCAAAAGGAGTGTTTTGATAACAACAGAGAAAAAATCCTTAATTTCCTTTTCCAATCCTTTACTCTACTTTAGATTCCAAACTTGTCCTTGGCCAGCTAAAAATAACAGAACCAGCAGAGCAGTGAGGCTTATAAAAGTACTTTCTTTGTTTCAATGTACTTGATATGTTATTTTTGACCCCTTTCAAGACAGCATTCATCTACCCCTGATTGAGATCAAAAACCATTCAAACAGGGAAAATAATAAGTCTGCACTGGAATTACAACTAAAACACAAAGAACATAACAACCAATATACACAACAACAATAGCTGCAACGACGCAAAACAAAACAACAACCTTATTTAGCGAAGACTCTTGCCTTTCTGTTAAGTAACCAAATATCACAGATAAGAAAAGACGAATGCCGTTATTCCTTTGCAGAAATGCCACTACAGCCAAATACCATTCTGTAGTAGGCATACTCCAAACCCGTCTGGTGCCAGTAGACCAGGGCTGCAACTATGATGAGGTGCCACAGCTGGTGAGAAGACCCAATGAAGTCAAAGCGACCTGCATATACAAGAAAATATGGATTCTAGTAAAAGTGTTTTTGTTTGTTAACATTATCTGGAAATATACTATAATGTGGGTTTCCCTAAATAATAGGCATAAATATGAAATTTTTTGCCATTGTGTATTATTGCATTATAGCTCTTTTTCCTGATATTATTTTCCCTGTGTAACTGTTTAATATGCTCCCTGAGCATAGACATGTCAACTTTCAATATTTCAGATACAGAATATTTATAAAATGATCAATATTAGCATCCATACAGAAATTAATACAAACATGAATCTTTACACTTTTTCTTTCTCCTAGTATGCTTTGCACTGTAAATGGTAAATGTAAATGAATGTCTTTTTTTCAACAGTTGTTGAATGACTGCCTTGATGGGCACCGAAACACTGAGCTGTGGCTTATTTACGAATGTATCTCAGAAAGAGAAAATGTAGTGTTATGGATTGCAGATCACATCGGTGATAACCACAGCAAAGGAAGATCAAATCTCATAATCAGTTGCCTAATCAGGATGTAGAAAATGGAAGTTTTGACTTATGACAAGTATTAGAACCTAATCTTATGGTCTAATAAAAACGATGTATAGAAAAACTAGTAATATCTAAATGACATAGTGTTAAAAGTACTTTAAAAAACTCTCAAAATATCTAGGTAAACTAAAAATCTAATGACAACCTACCCGGAAAATATCTCTCTGGTATTTTCCACACGTAGACAACTACGGCTGTTCCACTGATGGCATACATCATCAATATACGGGGCAAGAAAACCTGGAATTTTGAAACAAATAAAATAATTACTAAAAATACACTATATCAAATTTCTTTTCTTGATGGTGGAATTAAATGTCATTGGATATATGAAAATAAAGTAGTCAGAAATACATTATATAATAGTTAGCTTTACTGCATAAGATTATCAACATTTTCTTGAATAAACATAAAATAAAAGAATAATATCATTAAAAAAATATACTATTAGGAGTAGGACCTTCAATGACAGCTTTACAAAAAAAATTCAAATCCTCATCCCTCATACTCACTCGCTTCCATAACCATCAATTATCTGCTATCATATGCATGCACAGGTACAGGTGCACAAGATATATAAAGACACATATATATAAACACACATAAAAACTCACGCATACTTAACATATAAATATAAACAGACACATGAATGTACACTTGAACAACACATACATATGTAAATACAAACAAACACACGAGTGTATATTTAAACCACATATACACATACACAGATCCATCAACCTCATACTCCCCACACATTACCTCTGACTGGGATATAGTCAGGGTAAACTAGTACATCTGGTAGTATTTGGTATCTTTGTTTCATCATATCACCTGATGGGTTAATAACATATTAACCCATACCATATAAATTAATCAGAGCACTAATTAATTTACTTCAAGCACTGGTACTGACAAGATAATTATTTTAAAAGTATCATCAATATCTTTACAACACTAGCAATCTTCATTACCTGGACTATACCCGTGCTGACGCCCCCATGTAGGAGTGTCCAGTGAATGGTGGGCAAGAGACCTGACACAGCCCAGCCTGTAAATAGTGTCACTCGTGCCCATTCCCACTCCTGACCCATCAACCTGGAAGCAACAGTAAAAGAATTAGTATTTAATAAAACCTGGTTACTATTAATCATTTGTCATTCATTATATCAGAGAGAGAGAGAGAGAGAGAGAGAGAGAGAGA